GGATCTATTATTTGCGTTCTAAAATTCAATTATGATTATGGCATCCCTCTTCATAGTCAAATTTTGAGAACATGGCAAGACTGGTCTAGAATCATGTCTTTATGTGAGACATCATGAATCGTGTCCCATTTGTTTTGGGTACAAGATCGATTACATGTGCTATAATATTTGTCATTTCTAAATTTTCCAAATGAATGGGGCATTAAGAGGGAAAAGGTCTAGAATTGGATATGACTATAATGATTACGCAATTGTCGAGGACAATCTAAGGTTTACTAAAGATTGGTTGCTCAGGGATAGTTGGAAGTATATTGTTAATTTTTGGAAGGACCATATTGATATATTCTTAAAAGAGGAAACTCTTGTTCAGAAATGATAGTCAAAATGGGAATATGGAGTTGTGTCCATAGATAGAAGCAATCTATGTAAGATTAGAAAAACTTAGTGCAAGAAGCATGTTCAAAGCAATGCATACTTTGAACATAAGGATTTGTGTCCATGGAGTAGGTCTTCATTGGAATAACCTGTAATGGTTGTTGACAAGTCTTAATGACTTTGTACACATTCATTGCAACAGTGTAGTGCTTTTAAGTTTAAAATCTAACAGATTTGAATTTGGGAGTGTGAAATTAGAATAATGGTTCAATTGGTTTATTTCACAATGTAACGATCATAGACAAACATAGTGTGCATACTTGGTGTATGGCATGACCAGTGTTTAGAAAACATAGTGTACATGCTTGGAGAATGGCACAGCTATTGTTTTAATTCAACAATAAAGTTGATAGCTGAAATAGTATGCAATGAATATGTGTAATCATATGGTGATAAATAAAAGGTGTTTTTTTATATTCATAAGTTCTGACACCATATTGGATTCAATTATTATTGTGTTTCATTTTGCAAGTTTTGACTTCTAGAGTAACTAGGTCGTTCTTCCTGAATGACTAAGTTATTCAAACCATCCACAGTCGGTCATCCACAGTCGGTCATATGTTGGAAGTAGATATGAATCAAGACTGTCATGGGTTGGGCTTGTAGAGGTCTAAAATGTTGGACAAGGTCGTGCTACAACACTCATGTTTTCTCATAAGTTATGAGTATTATATTCAACCCGCGCTCATTGGAATCACTTCATGGATTTTATCACAAGTGATCATGAGAAGATAATATATTATATTATTCAGACCTAGAGATATGAGTTGTTACTTTGAGTTGGTTATACATTGATTGCATGAAAACGCATTGGTAACTCGATGTTATAAAACGTGACTTTGTGTATGATTCAGCAAGTAGTAGATCAAGTCATATGAGTCGAAGTTTATCCATTCCTTTTACCTTCGTGATAAAAGCGATATATGTGGGCCCCTCGATGATTTAATGATGATACATGTGAGTGCTTGGCCAAGCCATGACTGATTTGATCTGTTCAATCAGTCAATCGTCATGAATCAGAAATCGGGAAACAACAAATGGACAGAGAGAATGATTTTAATCCATGTCTCAATCCATATGATATCTAGAATGGAGGAATATATGATCCCTTATCTAATGGACAAGTCATTGAAAAAGGTAAGAGTTCATCGATAAGGTCAGAGTTCGACAGTGGATTTTAAGAGCTACGATTGCCAGTTAGGTTTTGAAGTCATACTTAATAATAGTTTTAGAATTATCCAAGTGGGAGACTATTGGATTAGTGTTTAAGTCCATAACTATAATTGGTATGTACTTGACCCGACTCGGCAAGGTCCATTTGGGTTGCATGGCATCGGAACATTTGGATAGACCGTTTGTGAGAAGAGGACATTTATGACATATTAATATATTATAAGTTCTGATATATTAATATGAAATCATGTTTTTTAATTAGTATTCATCAAGAATTAATTTGGACTTAATTTAGTGATCAAAAGATACTAATTAAATATATGGGTATTGATTGTGTAAATCATTAATTCTTATATATGTGGGCTTATGATCCGAGATTCCTTATGTTGGGTTTAACCCATGGGGTGACCCATGGATACTCCATGGAGGTTAAAACCCATGGAGCATTAGGAATGGGTAAAGTCATGAGTTACATGGTGTAACCCTAATAGCCACACTATATAAAGACCCCTTTAGCTCAAGAAATTGGCACTAGTGACACATATATGAGGGCTAGCTAATTTTAGCATGAAGTATCTTCTTCTCATGGTTATTCCAAGTGTTGATGATGTTATGTGAGCTATTTGAGGTGTCACACTTGGGGCACTAGGCTCTGGAGCATTATGGAGTCAAGCTACATCAACAAGGTATTTACTTTATCTATTTTATCACCCAAGTATCTAAGATTGTATGCTAGTTAGGGTAATACCTTGCAATATTCATATTTGCATGTATAATAGAGAAAACATAGATCCAAGGTATTAGGGTTGCATGTACACTTAGGAGTGTTAGAAAGTGCTTATGTCATTAGGTCTTGGACTCGTCAAGTCTTTTAAGCATTTCTTATATATCTATACATATATAGGCATGCAATTGATAATATAAAAGCATAAAATAAGTTTTGTAAAACCTTTGAACATAATTATTATCTAAGAAAAGATCGAATTGATGTAAATCTATAAAACGGTTTAAAGGCATGGGTTTGATAAAGCATTTTAAGTATAAAGAAGCATTTGTTTGAAACACAATTGTAAATGAGCTTGAATGAAACATATAGAGTAAAATGTACAATTTAATAAGGAGTTTTAAACATAATAAGTGTTTATGAAAAACATTTGAAGGAAATTGTTTGGTAAAACGGCTAATGAGTAGCCAATCATTTGAATGTTGCTTATTAATCACATGTGATTGATATAACAAGTAGCATGAGTCTACTTGTATCCCCCCCCCCCCCATAAAGTATTTAAAAACATTTAAAACATTGATTAAGGGGTATGAACTCACCTGTTGCGAGTGGATTGGAAGGAAGTGTCGGATAAGTGTTTGGTGTCAAGTGAAGACTTAGACACGCACAAAGATCCTAATTACATATGAGGACATATGTATATAAACAGTTAGTCTTTAAACAACTAATAAAGAAGTCAAGACACTCTAGGACATGACAAACACTTTGTATAAGTGTTATAAGTGCTAAGGAGTGCATCTAAGTGTTGTAGGGAAAGGCTAGTGTGTTTGGGGTTCAAGGAACACTCCTAAAATGAGTTTACTCCCTAAAGATCAACACCCCTTGAGTTTACGGTTGTAAACTCTTGAGTTTACGGTCGTAAACTCCTAACCTTTTGACCATTTGTTGATTTGAACTCTTCTAAGCTATTCCAAGCATTCCTCACTACTAGAAAAAAGGCCTTTTACGATGCTCATTGCGCGTCGTAAAACGCTCAAACAACGCGCAAATGCGCGTCAAGGAAGGCCCTGTCATAAAGAGAGACGACGCTCTTTTGCGCTTCATCTATAGACGACACCCATTTACGACGCGTTGTTATGACACACAATGTGTATCAAGGAAGTCCCTGTCATAAAGGAACACGACACGCATTTGCGTGTCGTAACCTTACGACGCGCGTGTTTATGACACGCAATGCGTATCAAGGAAGCCCCAGTCAAGAAAGGCCATGTCATAAATGTAGACAATACACATTTTTGTGTATCATAATTTTAATTTTTTTTTAAGTATATTTATATATTTATTAATTTATAAATTAAATTTGCATTTAATCTCTCATAATAGAAATAAATACCATATACAAAAAATACAATCCATTGCATAATATAAAATAAAATACCATATACAAAAAATACAATCCGTTGCATTTAATTTGTATGTATAACAAAGACACATGTGTTAAACTTGTTACCATTAACGTCTGATTCATAAGTCCTTTCAACAAGATTGTTACCTGCATAAATGAAAACAAACAGGAACATTAACAGCCCAGCTATGAACAATTTCACAAGATGCGCCAAAAATGATGATCATTAATAACTCCTTTCAAGGATAATTTGGTTTGGATAGAATATTAAACTAAATACAAATCATAAAGAATCTAAAAAAAGTCAAATGGGAGACTGCTATATATTACTCAACTTTATAATCAATTTGAAGCTTACTCTTGTGGTCTAATAAACTGTGTTTGCAAGTAAAACTTACACATGGTTGCTTTAGCAATTGATTTTGACATGTTATGATACTTTTTTTTTGGAAGCAACAATTCATTACCAAATAGGAGACTGTTATATATTGTACATATAATTCTAGTAAATTCTACCAGAAGAGTCCATGTGCAGTTCAATCCTAGACACAAATATCCTAGTATTCATCAGATTTTATCTATCTACGATACAAAATAATCAACATGCCATTGAATTTATAACAGGGGTAAAGTCGGAAAAACTCCAAAAAACTATAACTATTGTCCCAGATTAGTCAGGAACTTTTTTTTGTCCACATTAGGTCCTTGAACAAGTATTTTTGTGGCTATAGAAGAGTCAACATTTTAAAGTTGACTTAACCTGTAAACCTGCTATTGCCAACCCATAAGGACCTAATATGAAACAATAGGCATAGTTTGTTGGAGTTTTTCCCTTTATAACAAATATTAGACATTATTTTAGCAGCGGGTGATGGAACATGATATGAAACTAACCTCCTTGGATGTTGTGCTTGTAGCAGGTGCATTTGATGTCTCTATTGGCCCAGGGAAAACAAATGTTACCCGGAATATGGTGGGCCATTACTGGTATCTGAACATTTCACGTTTCCTCTATTGCCATACACTCTTCTGTTTGTTTAAACAAGTTATTGGTGTATTAATAATTATTCATGTCAAAGTAAAGAGAGATACTTGCCACAAAGCATAAATCACATACTATCAATATTACAAGCAGAAAGTAAAGAGAGAACAAGAACATAAAAAAAATACCTGCTTTCACGATCACGATCAGGTTCTCTAATTTCCCTTTCTTTATCTTTTTCTTTTTCTTTTCTTTCTCTTTCTTTATCTTTAACCTCTCTATCATGGCTCTTTTCCCTGTCCCTTACACTCCCATGTCTTTCTGATCTTGCTTCCACTTCGATGTGGTATTTCATGTTCTTTCTCTTTCTCTTGATCTCTATCTTCCCTTTCTTTCTCAGGTTCACATCCATGTTCCCTTTTTACCCTCACTTTGTCCCTCTCCCTATCCCTGTCACCACCTCTGTCTCTTTCTCTTTCTCTACCCTTTCCATTTCTATCCTCCCTGTTCCTATCTTTATCCCTATCTCTGTCTCTTGTTTCACGGGTACCCTTTTGTTTGTCTCTATCACTCCTAACCCCATCTTTTAGAGATGAAAAATGGTGAGAAGAGCATCTCAGCGTCCTCTTCTAATGGAGCCCTGCAATATTTATATTCATGCACATTATCATGTTATGCATTCTCTCTCATATATGATATATCCAAATCCAAATGCTAATCAAATGGAAATGCTAACCTGTCTTACTCCCAAGGCTGCTTACAATGGTATCATCTTTCTCATAAGGAACCTACAACCTCATATTCAGATCATTCTTAACTCTATATGTATGATAATAAGTAAAATTGTGTGTTTAATTATTACCTTGGCTGTCACAAGCTCCCATAAAACAATCACAAAACTGAAAACATCCGCCTTGTCATCATATTGTTGATGATTTATAACCTGCAAACCACGACAATACATAAGTAGCTCCATTCATCATGGTAAATTTAGAGTTTAGAGGATGATTCATAAATTAGTTAGGGTTTATCAGTGAAAAAGGAAATATCTTCAAATATTGTATGTTCCAGTCTTTGTTGTCATAACTCCCCCTTGACTCAGAAACCGGGCAACCCCAAAATCTGCCACCTTCACAACCTAAAATTAAATTTAAAAAAATAGAGAAACGGCTAAGAATCTAATAAGACAACACCATTAGTTTATATTGTTTAAGATTTGGCTCCATACTAGCCTTTATACGCTCATATGCTGCCTATAAGATAATCCAAAATCCAAAACACATGATAAGCATATTACAACAATTATTGTGACGGTTAATATAGGGGTTTAAAAAATAAAACTTACCTCATCAACATATGTGTGAAAGCTAAGATGAATATTCAAACCAAATTGCTTCTAAGTTACAAACATAAATAAAAGAAATTAAAAAAAAGACTTATAGCACACTAAATGTACCTTCACTTGTTGATTCTGCCAACACCGGCACACCACATGAAGCCACCATGACTATCCCTGAATCTTAAAAGAATATATGTGATCAAATGCAATTGAATGTTAATCATGAGAAACTGAAGTATAAATAAAATGTATCTCATTTTAATCATAGGAATTGAAACTGATATTAAAAGTTGGTGTTAGCAGTGATTCATGATTAATTAATAACTTATATTTCACAAGTTCTACAGTATTCAACATGTTAAATGATTTTTTTCTGGATATATAGAAGGAAGGTTGAAAAGAAAGCTTGACCATGTCCAGGGGCATTTCTGGTAAAAAAATCATCACCATAGTGAACTTTACCTTAAGACCCTCAATCTACACAATGTTCCTGGTCATGGCCATGTCCATTTTAATTCAGGAGGGTATTCTTGTAATTTTGTGCAACAACATTAAAAGTGGTCCGTAGCTTTAGATTTTGCCTCCTAGACCTTAGCTTCCCGACTAGTAAAATCAGTGGGAGCAACATTTGGGTCTCGGGTTCCCTCCTCTTCATTAGAGCCAGTATGGGACCTTTTATTTTCCCCCCAGACCCACTTGCAATTAACTCCAATAAAGATACTATTTCTTATAAAATCAAGGTTCCTATATAAAAACAAGTTGTGAACTGTGTGGAATGCATGAAAGAACTTAGGTACCTTCAAAATAAAAGGTCATCATATCGTTTTAAATATGTTTTCAGAACTTTCGACTATACTGTTCTGCTTAGCTTCTACATCATTAGTTCAAGAAAATATATTTTTTAGAAAGTTAGCATTTAGAGATTAAAACAATTGACTGAAATTGCAAACAATCAAATCAAAAGAGCTAAGAAAAAGGAAGGTATCTTCAAACAAAGAACAATCACAGATTCTAAAGAAGGAATAAACAGATTGAAATGAAATGAAAGATAGTCTCATAAAGGTAATGGAATGAAAAAAAATCACAGAGTGAAGAGTGAAGTTGGATTTGTACCAGTTTTAGGGTTTCCTTTGGTTACTCCCTTCACATCTCCGACAAACTTCATCTATAGAGGAGAGAGATGAGAGAAAACTTGGTAGAGGGAGCGATATGAGAAGGTGGATGCATCAATTAGGGAGAAAACAAACTCAGAGAGTGAAGAGTAAACTCGGATTTAGGAGAAGCACCATTTTCAGGGAGAAATCGAACCAGTTGGTCTTCATTGTTGATCTTCTTTGTCGCCATTACTAGCTCCTGAATAGAGATAAAGGGTAGGGCCTAGGGTGATTTGAATAGTTGTAGTCGCATGTGTGTAGAGGTGAGCCTCAGCTCGCCGACTAGGTGAGGTGAGACCAAGTTTGCCAATGAGGCTGATCAGGTCGTTAACTGGAAAGCACTCGTGAGGAATGGAAAATTGTTTTGAATTATAGGGTTTGTAAACATGGGGAGTCATTGTAGATGGAGTAGGGTAGAGGTGAAGAGGAGTGAGCGGGGTACTTCAAAATTTTGGGGGATTTTCCCCCTTTAGCTATTAATGAAGGATCAGACTCTCGTTCTTACAACACAGAATGAAGCCAACATAAAACCATGTTTCTGGTGGTGGCGGCTGCTAGGTTTTACAGAGAGAAGGAGGGGAGAAAATGAAGGTCATCGGCAAGTGGATAGGAATGAATGAGTGGGTCCTCCAAAATTTTGGGGATTTTTGTTGATAAGGGCGTGTTTCATTAAAAAACTTATAAAGCGACATACTTACATGACGCACATTTTATTAAAGGTGCCCTCCGCATTTCCTTTTTTTCTTTTCTAACACTAACTTTAGGGCACGCACAAATGCGTGTCTTCTATCCTTCAAAATTTTCAAAACTGACACTATTTTTTAGGGCACCCACAAATGCACGCCCTCTATCGACGAGTGTCATTGTTTGCGCGTCATTAAAGGCCAGTTTTCTAGTAGTGCCTACTTCATGATTTAGCCTTAGGAAGTGTTGTGTGGCATAAAAACACTCCTAAATTGAGTTTACGGTCTAAGGACCATTTTTCATGAGTTTACTACCTTAAACTCATGATTTTACTACCTTAAACTCCTAAGTTTATGGTATTTGGGGTTTTCAAGTCCTTAGCTCAATCATGGCACTAGTCTAGGTTAGATTTAGGCTTAAGGAACAACTATGGGACATTTGTGGGACATTTACACACCTTTTGGGGTGTTTACGGTTTTGGGACATCCCTAAACCATAAACACATGAAAATGGAAGGTTTTGGTGCTTTTTGTGTGACAAACTCTTCAAGGATGAACCTAGACAAGTCCTTAAGGCATTGTGAAGCATCTAGGCACCTTAACACACCATTTTGGCCCTATATTTGGTGTTTATGGTTTGGGGACCTCCCAAACCCGTGAACACCTTTATCTTGGTGTTCTTGGGACTTTTCTTTGGTATAAACATGTATAGCAAGCTTAAAATGACTCTAGGATAGATGTACTTACATTGTGGAAGCTTGAAATGAACTTTAAGTCCAAGAACACTAGTGTGTGTTCTTGGTGTTTTGGAAAAACTAATCAAAACACTAAATAGATGGATTAAAGGATGTACAATCACTAGATTAAGCGATATACTAACTTGAAAGGGCTAGAAACACTTACCAGATTGAAGATTTTGAATAAAAACTTGGATGATACTTGAAAGGATATTTTGGAGTTTACTCTTTTGGTGTTTGGGGAGTAAACACAAGAATGACTAGTCTTGGGGAGTAAACTCATGCTTAAGGCATGAGTTTACGTTTTTGGATGATTTTTCGACCCAAACATAAAAGTTTGGTCGTGAACTTCTAAGACACGAGGTGTTTGTGGTTTTTAAATTTCAAAACCCGAGACGGCACTTTCTTTCACCCGTTTGCTTAAAAATAATATTAAAAAAATCAAACGAACTTTAAATTTCTTAAAAATAAGAAATAATGACATTAACTTATGATAAGAAGTGGTTGACTTTTAGGGTTTGACCGAATGGAAATTTCGGGTTGTCACAACTTTTATTAATAATAAACGAAAATTTTGGAACTTGTCCTTACAATGCAAAATGAAAACTATGTTTCTAAACATTTCTTAAGTAATCTATTAATTTATCATAACTCCTAAGAGTAGCTTCCAAAATCTGATCACTGAGCCATGCGACCAAAATCCATCTCTAACGATCAGATTCAACTCACTCTTCTTTAAGCTTCCTTCTTTATCTTAGACCCTGAAAAATATCTAAATGTGATCATCACATCATGTATTAATAATCTATGAATAGGAACTTATAATGGAGTTCGATAATGAATTTACCTGAAGTGGAGTCATACGACTTCACTTTACCATCTATAAGATCTTTCAGGTAGTTAGGGTATCTTTGTAACCTCTGTCCCTCCAATTGGCAATAAAAGCATGTGGACTTTTTAGGATTAGCATATGGAGTTATCGTATAACTAGCCTTTCTCTGAACCATATCGTTAAACAGTTTGACCTTGGACGATCCCTTTCCATTGGGAAGAGAAACCTTTTCTGGACTACCATTGTTGCCATTGTCAATGTCCATGGAAATTTAGGAGATAGATCCTTCGAACACTTTTTCTTCACTTGTTCTCTTAAGCATTTATGCTTCAACAACAATCAACATATGTGTTAGATCAATTAGGGTCACGTCCTAGTCCCTCATATAGTAGTATTCAATGAACTAACTATATGACTCAGGAAGCGAAAGTAGAATTGATTCAATGGCTAACAACCTTGGAAAAACGACACCCAACATTACCAATCTGTCAATGTAGGATTTCATTTTCAGAACATGCGCACATACAGACTTTCCATCTTGATGTTTGCATGCCAACAGGGCTTGAGTAACTTCGTGTTTTCCAACATGAAGGAAACATGAAATGGGGAGATTCATTGTAGGAGGAGGAAGAAGAATAATTGAAGAAGTATGACCTCCATTTCCACCATTTCTCAAAGAAGTGAACATACTTTCACCTTGATCAGAATGTGGAAGATCATCTTCAGAAGGAAGAGGAAAACCACTTCCTAAAGAACAAGGAAGACCACTGTTTTATGAACTTGACATCTATAATAGGAGAAAGAGAATTCAATTTAGTTGATTTTAATCCTTCATTATTAACCCATAAATTTAAATTAAGGCTAGGATCCATATTTTCGAGTCAAACTTTAAAGAGGGATGCCGCAATCAAATTCGAATCTATTTTAGATAGGTGAGATTTTAGCAATTTCAATCTCATGAAACTCCTATATATTTTGATATTCATTGAGCTATTCAATGGTATGTTTAATCTCGATTATTCTCTCACTTTGTGACTGGGATGTCGAGGATCACAAATGAGATGTGAATAACCATGCAAATTAGCTTGGTACCCTCGATGTAATTTCTCATCTCTTTTTAATGTGTCAGTTAACCACACACGCTCCACTAATCAACAATAATTTTCGAGACCCATTACCACCCTTTATTAATCCCATATTAGTGTGTCGGTTAACCACACGTGCTTCACTA